GGGGTGTGTGTGTGTGTGTGTGTGTGTGTGTGTGTGTGTGCGTGCGCGCGCGCGCAATGTGTCCTAACACATGTGGAGACTGTGCAGAGCACATGTGGATGTTAGGGCATATGCACATACATGTGGAGAGCATGTCTATGCGTGTGGAGAACATGTGCCTGGGAGCAGGCATGTCATGAGCCCCTGGCCCCATCTGAGCATACCCAGGAAACTCTGCAGCCTCTGCTGGGGCTGGGAGCTCACTTTTACACGGAGCTCTCACCTGTATCCCGCTTCCCGCCTGGAAGATGAAGCTGCTCAGAGCTGCTGCCCCCAGCCCCCCACAGGCCCCACCCTGTCCTGCCAGCGTGTGTGACTCAGATGGAGCATTGTTCTAAACCTGGGGCTCACCCCACCTGCCCCAGGACAAAGGCGTCCAGGCCGCCCCTGGCTACCCAGGAAGGGGCAGGAAGGGAGGCAGAGCCAGACTGGCGGGGCAGGCTGGGCCCTCACACGCTGCTCTCACCATCTGGAGCTCGTTCTGTAACTGCTGGTTCAGGCCCACTTTCTCTTCCATCTGGGCTTCCAAGAATGCAATCTTTTCTTCTTTCATGGCCAGTGCTGTTCTCAATGTTGACTCATTTTTGCCCTCCAAAATCTTGTATTTTCTGAAAAATACAAAGATATGAGTATCATTTACCTCCTCTTCAGCCCCACACCAGGCTTTTCACTGCCCAACACTCCTCCTCCCCCTCCTAGGAGGCTGCCTGTATGTACCACCTAGAGTCAGACTCACCAACCAGAGCCCTTCCTGGGACCCCTATGCAGACACACACCTGTGACCCCTCCCAGGAGACACACTGCTAGCCTTTAGAGTCACTGTTTTAGGGAGGTGTTACCATGACCATTTTACCAATAGGGAAACTGAGTCTTGGAATGCTTAAGCAATTTGTCTAAGGTCGAAGTGCAAAGTACACAGCAAGTCTACAGACTTTCCACCACACCAAACAGTATTAGCAAGCATGTGGGTCTCAATTACAAACCCAAAAGTCCAAGATACTGGATTTCCTTACACAATGTTATCATTTAAAGCATGGTTGCAATAGTCAAATTAGAAGTCTCAGGCTGAGGATTAGTGGCTCAGCAATAGAGCACTTAGGCAAGAGGTCCCTGATTCAGTCCCCAGCACCACCAAAAAAACAAAAACAAAAAAACACCTTTTTTATTGGACAAAAGAATCTCCCTCCATTCCCCCCGAAAGCAGCCAAGGATAAGATCTGGTCTTCAAAAAACACAGAAGCCACACGATGGTGACTTCAGTAAACAAAGTCCTCTGGCTGAGGATCACAAGGGCTCAGACCCAACAGCAGAGGGACGTGCTACCCTACAGGAGACCATCCTCACGTGTCACCATGGCTATTCTCGTCCTGCAGCAGCATCTCCTTGCTGAGCCCGACCTTCTCCAGCTCTTGACCCAGTTTGTCCAGCTCACTGGTCAGCTGCTGGCTCTTCAACTTTTCCAGCACCAGGTCCTACAACACAGGAGATGGGAGTGTGGAGTGGGAACCCAGCAGTCACAGCAGAGAGGGCAGGCCGGGGCCTTCTCACACAGTCATCTTTGAGCCATGTGTATCCAAGTCCTGGCTGCCTGGGAGGATGACTGGATGGTCAACCCCTGGCAAGGATATGTTGCCAAAAGAAAGGAAATGACACTTCTCCAGGCCTAACCAGACTATGCAGCAGTCTACGCAGGATGGATCTAACACACACCATCTCCAAGACATGTTGGAAATGCCACTCATAGAGACCTCTAAGTACTGGGTTGGATTTCTGCCTTGAGTAGCAAGTATTAAATGCTCATTGCAGACAATGTGAAACAGAAAAAAGCAGAGAGAAAGGTTTTATCTTAAGCCCTGGTTCTGGTGTACTTTTCAGAACACAGATGCTGAATTCACTCAGGGATTCACATCATCTGATCCCCTTCGCTTCCATCTATCTCTGCAGCTCTCTAAAGGAAGGAAGCCTCCATTGCTGCCCAGAGCCAGTCCCTGGTGAGCTATTTATCCTTTCCACCAAGTCACAGGCAGCAGGAATGTTACATGCATTTTTCACTTACAATATTCTCACCCCATAATGGGTTTATCAGGACACAGCCCACCTTAAGTCGAGGAGCAGCATCTATCTATATGCACGTGCACCGAGGAAGTGATGCGATGAGCCAGACATTAGGTGTAATTACCTCTTAGTAGTAAGATCATACTATGTGGTTTCACTGGGCTCTCTAGACTCTCTCGGATATTAGAATGAGGGATACACTAGGGAGGGCATGCAAAGTACCCCTTGTGTTCTGGAACCACGCACCCCAGAAACAGGCCCTCCTGCCCCGCTGCTGCACCCGGCTCACCTCTCTCAGGGTGGTCAGCGTCCTCGTGTGCATGGTGACCTGCTTGGTGAGGTCCCTGTTGTCCTTCTCCAGCTCCTTCAGCTTGCTGGCCGCATCCCGGCAGCGGGCCAGCTCCTTGTCCAGCGCACGGCTCTCCTTCTCAGCCGCCGACAGCTTGGCAGTGCTGTCGTCCAAGACGGCATCCTTCAGCTCCACCTGCTGCCACAGCCGCTTGGCCTCCTTCTCCAGCAGCTTCTTGTCCTTCTCCAGCTGGGCCACCTCCTGCTCCAGAGCCTTTCTGTCCTTCTCGGCCCTCTCCAGCTGCTTGTTGGTGAGCCGAAGGGCCTCCAGGTCTCGCCGCAGCGCCTGGTGCTCAGCCTCCAGCTCCCTCAGCTCCTGCTCTAAGGCCTGTGACTTGTGGCTGCTACTCTCTAAGCTCTGCTGCAGCCGGAGGTTCTCGGCATTCACACTCTGGTAGCTGAGCTCCAGGCGCTCTGACTTCTTGCTCAGCGCCTTTAGCAAGTCCACGTTCTTCCGCAGCTCCTCCTTCTCACGCTCCAGCTGCTGGTTCTCGCTCTCAATCTGCGCCATCTTGGCGCTGGTGAAGCGCATGGTCTCCACCATCTTCCGCAGCTCCAGGTTCTCCTCATCCAGCTGCTTGTTGTCTCGCTCCAGGCCCTCGAGCTGCACTGACACATTCTGCAGGGTGTCTAGGGACTTCTTCAGTGCCCGGTTCTCCAGCTCCAGGCCTCGACTTTCGTGCTCCAGGGCCTCGACCTTCTCGGTGACTGTGTTCAGAGAGGTCACCTTCTTGGCCAGCTGCTCATTCTCCTTCTCTAGCCGGCACAGCTCCTTCTCCAGTGCCTCTGCCCGCTCCCCCTTCTCCTTGGCCTGCTCCAAGTCCCTGTGCAGTTGCTTCTTGTCCAACTCAAGCTGGCTCAGTTTGCTGCCAGCCTCTGTCACTGCCTGGTGGAGGGCTCTGTTCTCCTTCTCAATGTCCTTCCCACAGGCCTCGCTGCTGGCCTGTGACTTCTCCCGTAGCGACCACACAGTTCGGTGCAGGTGGTCCTTCTCCTGCTCCAGATCCTTGATCTACAGGAAAACACAACAGGCAGGATCTTGGCTGCTGTGTAAACTGAGGCCAGGGACCTGGGCTTACATTGTGCAGCTAAATCATCCCAACAATTCTGTGGCCTGACACAGACCCGGATGAGGGCACAAACAGACGCCAAGTGCTGAGACAGCTCAACATACACTTAGGGCAGCCAAAGCAGGCTTTAAAAATAAGTCAGTCAGTCTGTCCGTCCTCCCCACCCTTCTAAGTTTCAGCCATTTTCCTCAGTCTTTTGGTCATGGCCAGTGGAGCCCAGTGACCAGGACCTGCCCACCTCTGCAGCCTGCTCTGAAGCCCACTCACCACTCCCAGCTTTCTCCCAGCGCAGACACTGTACAAGCTACTTTCTCTCAAGCCTTTAGCCTCCATGTCTCCTTCTCATCCCACAAGGTTGTAGCCTTGCATGATGGCTCCAACACGGGCCTGCACCCAGTATTCTCCTGCGCTGCACCCTGTCTGTTCTCTTGGTAGCACATATCCGAGATCACCATGTCTGTCACATGGCAGTTTGCTGCCCAGCCTATCTTTCCACTGTATCTGACACTGTTCCAACCTTCTCCCCAGTTTGTGTTGCTCTGTTACACAGGCTGGAAGCTGAAATGCCCACCCCCACCTCGCTTACAAGCCAAGGAGCTGTGGGTCAGCTCTGGCTAATGTCCCTGTGCTTCCGCCCCTTCCACCTGCACTTGTTCAGCAGCCACTGCTAAGGACACAAAGGCAGCAGAGGAGGCCTGGTCCTGATGACACCTTAGAGCCACTGTGCCAGCCCTGAGTGCCCTACCTGGATGTAGTTTAGGGTGAGGCAGGTCCCAAAGTCTCTCCTGAAACACTGAATATGAGCAGCGGGGCCAGCCTTTGTCCTACACCTGCAGAACATTTAGCAGCCTCCCTGCCTCCAGGAACACCAGCCTCCCTCCCTCAAATCCAAGTCAGGAGTGTCAAGTCTACCCACATCCCAGGGAAAGAAGTGCTAGATGACACTGCTGCCGAGCTGGGCAATGACACCCATGATCTGTGAGCGCTGTCAGGAAAGGCTGTCACCCTCAGCTCCCTTCTCAGAAGCAAGCATCCCAGGAGAGGTGAGAGGTGACGGCAGGGCCTACCTGCCTGGCCTTGTCGGCCTTCAGGGCCTCCATGTCACTCTGTAGGTGTTCCTTCTCCCGGATCAGCTCCTCACTGAGGGTCTCCAGGTCTTGGCTGCTCTGCTTTTCTCTCTCCAGCTGGGTCTGTAACTTTTCAATCTGCAGTCAAAAAACCCAGCTCAGTGCTAAGTCAGTCTTAGCAAGTGGGCTACATTTTAAGACTCAATCCACAAATAACTGGAATGGGCTTTTGCTCGAGAAAGATGTTCCAGCCTTGTTCAGCAGTGACTCCCTCATAGCCCAGGACCTGTACTTTGTGTGTGGGATGTGAGCAAGGTCACCGGGCACCAGACTATTATGTCCCTTGCTAGGGGCCCTGCAGGGACTTCATGCTCACCCATTGTCCTTCCCTCCATCCTGCCTTGGGATGGTGATAGCTCTCAGCTGCTCAGAGAGGTTCCCTATTTTGTCACCCTCTGTCACTGTCTTTTCCACCCACTGTACACCCCAGCTGCCTCTGCTCCAGGCTGCTGTGTATCATCTGGCAGCAGATGGGGCAGCCTCCTGAGAAGGCCCCCAACACCAGGCTCTTATGCTGAACCCAGGGGTGCCCAGCTCCTCACACTTCACAGTGCAGCTGAGGCTCCAGGAGGCCGGTAGCAGAGCTCGTGAAGATGCAGCTTCTTTCCTCCAACCCCACGCTCTCAGCGTGAAGAGTAGGCACTGGGGAAAGGCACTGATGCCGACCTCAGAGGAGCAAGGGGTCAAAGTTCCACTCCACCACTGCTACGTGGCCACAGCAAGTCTGTGGCTCACCACCGGGGCCAGCTTATCCATCCTCTCAATCACCACACCTAGAGACAGCAGGTGTGCTGCGTGGTGGCTGACCCCTCCCCTGAGATCACTTCTAAATTAGCGGGTGTGGTGGAGTGGGGCCTGAGGAGCTGCATCTTACGTGGCTTTAGTGAACCTGGTGCTGCTGATTGGGGACATTGTTCTAAAATGATGGTCATGGCGTCAGGACCAGGGGTCACCGAAGAGCTTGGAAAAATCTCAAACTTCCTCTGTGGGGGTGGATCTGGTATGCCCAGGTGATACCCATGAATACCCGGGGCTGAGCCTTGCACAGCCAGGTATAGAAGTTCTTGGGTGGCTCTCAGCACCCTTGTCAAATGCAGGTCTGGGGCCCCTCTCTTCAGTAAGTAGCCACCCAGCCTTCCTGCCTCAGGGTCTATTCAGGCTCAACCTCCACGGTGGAGGTAGGCCATGGGATCCACCAGTGTATGGGTGTGTGGGGCGGGGGTGCATATGCATCATGCTGTCAGGGAAACAAGCTCCCAACCCAAACTGAGGACCCTAGGGTAAATGTGCTTCACCCAGAAATCTTATGAAGTATAGTGACAGGAAAGGGAGGCAGCTTCTCCAGGACCCATGGAGGTGCAAGATACAGCCAGGGTGGGGCTGGGGATTTGGCTCAATGGTTCCGCCCCCTGCCACACCAGCTCAAGGACCTGAGATCAATCCCTGGTACCAAAAAAAAAAAAAAAAAAAAAAAACAG